CCACAGTTTCCATCACCAATGACATCCTTCCATGCCGTGATGTAAGGCAACATCGGTCTTAGAAGGAAGTGCAAATACCTGCATTGACTGATGTCACATTGATCATCTGCAGAAAATTAATGTTCATTTATTAGTACGCTACAAGATGAAATACGCGTAATTCCAATAGGTGTGTAATTCTCAAGTGCAAATAAGTGTAATTTCATGACTCACCTAAGGTCGTACCTGTTTGTTGTGTACCACGTTGAGTGTTTTGACGGTTTACATGTTCGAAATAACAAGGATCACGCCTGGTATCATCGTTCCTTCGTCGACCTCGAACATTGTGGTTTACATGTGGTTCTTCAAGGTTTGTATGATCCGGATGCAGCTCCCCTTCAATGATACGAGATACATTTTGAAGTATAGCAGGATCACTACCAATGACCTCATCAACCAAGGAACGAAAATGTGCAGCTTCCTCGGTTGAATCGTTAACGAACACATGTATATCAACACCATCACCAATAACCAAGGTCTTCCAGAATGGATGAAATTGCCCGATATACAAGCCTGACTATGCAACTAGGGAATCATGTATCTGGCAAGCACATGGTAAACCATGGGTCACACGCATTGCACATCCACAACGCTCATACACTTGGTAACTCAACTCCCTCATCCTCCTCATCTCATCATCGAGAATTTTCAAACAATGTTGAGACACTTTGCCTTTTATACGTGACAGTGGCAATTGTCTGTACTTCTCACCAATTTTCGATCTTGATGCCTCCAAACCGTTACGAATTGCAATGATCTGATTACCAATATGACAATGTACTCGGGCCCAGACGGTATCCAAAGAACCTGTCGTTGATTCAAAGTATAAAAAAAAATTATGATTTTTATAACAAAATTACTAAAACGAAGTAAAGACAACAACTACAACATTATAACAACGAACCTGTCGATGATTCAAACCACGTCTTCACTGCCGAATGTTGGCTCTCAACTCTACAATTACTCGTGTTACCAAAGTGAAGAACTTGGTTCATCCAAAATGTCACAAATTTGATTTTATGACAAAGCCATATTCTCTCAACGTAAGTAATCACTGCCGGATAACTTGCCACCTAGCTTTTATTGTATCTACAGCAACATTATAATCTGCTTCGGTTGTAGCATCCATGATACGTTTCCATTTGCCATTTTTAAAACTCGCACCGATCTTCTTATTTTTGAACATATCAGTCACCCTAGCCTCCACATCTTTGTTAATGTGCCATCGACAAAGTAAATGCGACGTCCCTGGAAACACTTCTCTCAATGCCACACAGAGGCCAAGTTCACGGTCCGACAAAAATACCGATGGTTCTTTCTCATGCCCAATCAACTCCCTTAATCTCTGCAACACCCACCGATAGCTTGCCGTGTACTCGTTGCGCATGAACACATAACCAACGAGGAAATTCTGATTTGTCGGTGTTACACCTACTATCTCAAAGAACGGCATCCCGTATCGGTTGGTCTTGTATGTTGAATCCATATCGATTACATGTGGGTATGTGCGTAGTATGTTTACCGTGATTGGGTGCATAATAAATTCATGTTGTAGAACGCCGAGGTCATCGGCCATGACCCACTAAATATACCGACTCTATCTCGCCAAATGAAGAAATTGCTGAACAACTCCTCTGCCTTCAGACATCTCCGCTCTCAAGTCATTCCGGCAATTGTAAATGTGTCTGATGTTTGGATGATCATCAGGAAATTGCTCTGCAATAGTTGCCATGATGTTACGCGGTGCAACCTTGGACTTTGTCATGTCACGCACAACCTTTTTTGCAACCGGGCTCAAGCCACTAATTTTACGATGACCCTCTTGATACACAACCATTGGATGGTTATGGGTCCTAGTTGCATCATTTTTTGCACGGATCTTCCAACTGTTTGTGATGAATTCATAATATATCTTGATGTAGAAAGGCAACCATTAGCTTTGGTTTTTGTGTCCTTTCGTATTGCGTTCTCAAAATCTCTCGGCTTGCTCTTCCGTCCCCGATCACATCTCAAATATCGATACGGCCGACCATCTCTGGTTTTGTTGTAAGACGATTTAACCAAAATAAATCCTAGATTTATGGAAACAGCATCCGCCCATTTAACTGCATCATCAAACGTTGGAAATAACATGTCCATGACAAAATTCACACTATAATTCACACCATCACCGCCGTCTTCAAACTCCAAATCCTATAAAAATAAAAGAATCACACAAAATTCTCCAAACATTAACTAATATCACAACATTAACTAATATTATCACATTAACTAATATCATAACATTAACTAATATTAACTAATATCACAACACTAACACTACCATTAACTAATATCACAACATTAACTAATATTAACTAACATTAACATTAACTAACATTAACTAATATCACAAAAAAAAACTAATATTAACTAATAACAGTAATACTAATACTAATTACTCAAATTATCACAAAAATAATAATAATCACAATAATAATTATAATTATCATACAAAGATTACATTAATAAATTTGATTATAATTAATCAATAAAATACAAAAAAAAAAAAAAAATAAATTAGACATCCGCCTAGAATATCCGGATCCACCTAGTGGATCCCCTTAAAATTTCCGGATCTTCCATAATGGATCCGGAAATTTTAAGCGGATCCGCCTAGATGGATCTGGATATTTAAGGCGGAAGTTTGCATTTCAAAAAATGAAAAAAAAAAGTCCGAGGACTTACAGAATCTTCCGACGATGCCTCCGGTGTATGATTGTTGTCGTCGTCCATCGTCCTAAACCTGTCGCTAAAGCTTAATAAATCTATTTTTTAAAAAAATTGGATTTTGGTGGTGGGCTCGGGAATTTTGGGTTGGATGTCGTGGGTTCGGGAATTTTTTTTAACCACGTGGTACTTAGTGGAGGGGTCGGAATGATATTAAAATGCCCACATGTGTCATTGTAGAATATTATATAGTCCAAGTTACAGCAAGGATAATATCGTCCTTTCCTATTAAAATGAGAGCAATGCTTGGTAAATTGAGAGCGATGTTTAGCAGTTCAAAAAAATAGCTGGTACAACGTTATTCCAATTACGTGTGATGTTAGCTGAGCTTAACTAATCCCACACCGAAAGAATAAATTAAACAGATCAAGAAATTTATACGGTAAAACATAACAAATGAGATAACAAAAACCCTTAATCCTAGAGTCCTGAGAGTAGGGGTGCTAATCGAGCGAATTGATCACGAGCAGATGATTACTCGACTCGTACTTGTTAATTTTCGAGTCGAGCCGAGTCGATCACAAGTTGCTCGTTTAAACGTTTAGGTCTCTTGAATTTCAAATATTCATTAATTAAATTTTATTCTCTTTATATAAATATTTTCTACTTAAGTTTATTATTTTGAATTTATTGAGCAACAAGGTAAATTTTTATTTTTAAAGATACAAGAACTAAAAATATTGAATTTCTTGTACACTTATCAAGTTTCGAGCTGATTCGAGCGAGCACGAGCAAACTCGAGTCGAGCGTTGACCGAGTCGAGTTTAAGTTGCTTGTGAGTTGTCCTGCTCAATTAGCACCCCTACCTGAGAGATTGTTATATACATTCGGGTTGAATAGTGTACCCACGAGTAGTTTGTTGTCATTTTGATTATTTTTTATTTAATCATTAAATGAAGAACAAAAACTATGCACGGTACATTTGAGTGTATATAAAAATTTTCATAGGGTCTTATGATTAAAGATTTTTTTTTTTTTTTTTCAAAGAGTCATAGATAAATGCATAAATATCTGACAACTAAAAATATAAACTATATTTAGATATTTTCTTTAAAGGTTAGACACAGAACAAAAAAGTATTACTTTAGATGTTATGCATCATGAAACCGTGAAACTAATAATATTAGATAAAGGTTATTTTTTTTTTTTTTTTTTGGAAAGGTTAGTTTAATAAAGCAATGATTTTTTTAACCAATAAATTTATGATTTGATATTTTGATTATATATGTACAGGATGATTAGTTACCAATTCAAAGCAATGATATTTTAGTTTATACCAATTATGATTTGATCATGTAATCAAAATATATAGGGTGATTATTTACAAATTGGGATGATCATCTATTAAACTAATAATCAATTGAGCTACACATTTATTAAGTTAATAATCAACTGGGATGATCACCTACCAATTATGTTATCAATGAAAATTACTCCACCATTTACCAATTTACTTATCAAATTCATGCATATTGATAATCGATTGAGCTATTCATTTATTAAGTTAATAATCAATTGGGATGATCACTTACCAATTCTGTTATCAATGAAAATTGCCATTTGCCAATTTACTTATCAAATTCATGCATATTGATAATCGATTGAGCTAATCATTTATTAATTTAATAATCAATTGGGATGATCACTTACCAATTCTGTTATCAATGAAAATTGCCATTTACCAATTTACTTATCAAATTCATACTGATAATCAATAGACCTAATCATTTATTAAGTTAATAATCAACTGGGATGATCACTTACCATTTCTGTTATCAATTGAACATTGACGTTTAACAATTTACTTATCAAATTCATTTATCTTTTACCGATTTGCTTATCAAATTAAATAGTCTACGGATTGATTTATCAATCATGATAATGATTTACCAATTTACTAATTACATACACAATCGATTAATAAGTAAATTGGTAAATGTCAATTTACTTTAAAAAATTGTGGGAAAAAAAGTTGATAAGTCAAAGTCAACAGATTCACATGATATAACATCCTATACTCACTGAAGTAAAACTTTTTAAATAACTTTTTAAACAAATTCACACTCCCACCACCCATGACCCATCATTAAATCAAGAGTCGATTGCGTATGTAATGTCTATTAATTATTTTTATTTTTTTTAATTATTAATAATGATTATAATATTTTTTAAATGGAAATAAAACAATAAAATGTATCTTAAAAATAACTATAAAAACCATCAACTCACACTCTAAAGGAGTCATAGAGTAGCTAGGAAACAAACTCTTTGGTGGTTAGGAGACACAAATATTTTGCATAAATACTGAAAACTATACTAAAAAAAAAATATCATAAAAGCAAACTAGAGAGAAAAATAAGAAACTATCAAAAAATTTAGCATGGAGGTAGTGAAGAAAGAAAATGGTGAGACAGTAAAGAAGGAAAATGGTGAGAGTGACAAAAGCATCAACGATTGGCTTCCGATAACGGCAAACCGTGAGGGGAAGTGGTGGTACGCTGCAATTCACAATGTGACTGGTATGGTTGGTGCTGGTATTCTCGGTTTACCATACGCTATGTCTCAACTTGGATGGTATGTACACTTTTATTCCTTTGCCCTTTGCCATGGATCTTTGAGAAAAAATAATAATTTAAAGGCTTGTTATATTCTAATTCCCATATACTTCATGTTATTTTGATTATATACGTACCATATAATAATTTTTATATAATATAATTGTTAATTGAATGAAAAAGGTTTAATAATAGAGATATATTTTGTGGCCTGATAATCATTATTTTTAATTTTTCATGTATGTAAATATATAGTATTTTTTTTTCTTTTCTGATTATGAAAGTGGATTAACGAGTTAATAAAAACTTTGGGAAAAGATTTAATTGATAGTAGTCCGAATTAATTTTGTTAATGAAACAGAAGTTGAGAGTATGTACGTGCATGATGAGGAAATTTTGTTACTTTGCATTTATTTTGTTGTAAATTGTTATTAGCTCAATCAATCCCATAATTCGCCAGGCGATTTGATCTGAAGTTGTGGATCAACTGGTTGTTCCCGGTGGCGATCTGTAAGTTTAAAACTATGTATATGTGTATGTGTATATATGTTTGGTTGCATCGTCATGCATCATCAATTTGATCTAGTTTTAATATGTTCATTTAAAGTATTTATGTTTTTGCAATTTTGTGTATCTTTAGTTAATAATGAAAATTTTACAGAATTTATGAAAATGGAATATGTAATAGAGTTTTACATATAATTAACGAGTTTTTTTTTTTTTTTTTTTTTTTTTTTTTTTTTTTTTTTTTTTTACTCATAAATTTTGGGAAATTTTGTGGTTTGTGTTCATGATAATAACTAAAAAAGGAAATAATATATCATGTTATTGAAATAATATTTTTAATTTGTGGAATATATTGACATTATTATTAATTTATTCTAGGGGTCCGGGTGTGACAATATTATTATTGTCATGGGCTATAACACTATATACCCTATGGCAAATGATCGAAATGCATGAGGTTGTCCCTGGTAAAAGGTTTGATCGATATCACGAGTTGGGACAGTACGCGTTTGGAGAAAAACTCGGGCTATGGCTCGTTGTTCCCCAACAGTTTATGGTTCAGGCTGGGTGTGACATTGTGTATATGGTCACCGGAGGGACTTCGCTAATGAAATTTTATAACATGGTTTCTCCTAATGGACCGCGGATCAAACTTACCTATTTTATTATGATTTATGCGTCTGTTCAATTTTTCCTGTCCAACTTACCAAATTTCAACTCTATTGCTGGTGTCTCCTCAGCTGCTGCTATTATGTCTCTCTGGTAAGTTTTTGCAATAGATTAATGCTTTTGTATTTTCTTTAGGTCCAACAGTTTTTTTTTAAACATATTTTTGCTTGGATAAGTAATATATTTTTATTTTCATTGTTATGTGATATTATTTGATCTTGAATATTGATATTAACGAAGTCATGATTTTGAATTCAGTTATTCAGCCATCGCATGGATAGCTTCAACTATAAAAGGAATACAACCCGACACGAGTTATGGACCTAGATATCACACTAGCGCCGGACAGATATTTGGTTTTTTGAGTGGTTTAGGGACGGTTGCATTTGCTTTTTCTGGGCACAATATAGTGTTGGAGATTCAAGCAACAATTCCTTCAACTCCGCAAAAACCTTCTAAAATAGCCATGTGGAAAGGATCTCTCCTCGCTTATATAATTGTAGGATTGTGTTATTTTCCGGTGGCTTTTGTTGGTTATCTAGTGTTCGGCAGGCTTGTTGAGGATAATGTTATGATGTCTCTTGAGAAGCCTATTTGGCTTATTGCCGTTGCTAACCTATTTGTTGTCATACATGTTATTGGGAGCTATCAAGTAAGTCAAAGTTCTTTCGTTCAATTTTCAAAATGTGTTTGACAATTTTTCATAACTACTCTTAATATTAATAATTTCTTTAAACTACACTAGGTTTTCGCAATGCCAATTTTTGACATGCTTGAATCTTTTTTGGTGTTGAAAATGAAATGCAAACCTGGTAGAATGCTTCGTCTTATAACTCGTTCTACTTATGTCGGTGAGTTATTTTATGAAAGGTTTTCTATTTTATATTATATATATATATATAAATATTTGCAAAGTATATTAAAAATATCTTGTTCTATACAGGAATTACTATGTTCATAGGCATAGCATTTCCATTTTTTGGCTCTCTCTTGAGTGTGTTGGGAGGAATTGCTTTTGCACCAACATCATTTTATGTAAGTTTATACATAATATATATATTTCATACTGATTAAAACAAATGAATAAAATTGTCTAATATTAGTATAATATGATTTGTATTTCAGCTTCCTTGCATAATATGGTTAATAATATGCAAACCAAAAAAATACAGTGCATCATGGTTCTTTAATTGGGTAAGTTTTTAACTCTTAAATTCATTTACATTTAACAACATTTATTATATTTGTTTTTTTTGTTCAATCTAATGAACGTATGTTTTTATATATTGTAGGCATTCATCATTTTTGGCGCATCGCTGACGATTTTAGCTCCTATAGGAGCTATAAGAGACATAATCGCTCAATGTGATACCTACAAATTCTTCTCCTGATCAACCGTTTTTTATGAGGAGTGATTGGGGTGATGATATATATTGATCATAGGTTTTGATCCGATCATTTTTTAAAGCGGGTCATCTATGGTTGTTAGTAAATTTATGTGAACTGTTATTATGAACTATTGTTTAGACTTTTTCTCGTAGACAAACAATATATATTATGTATATATGTTTAATAAAATTAAACCATGAATTATGGGTTCTATATTATATACTATAGTCATTATCGTATAGAACACTTGTCATAATATTGTGAAATTTTCCCTCCAAAATGCTGAATATTTGTTTTTTCATAAAAAAATTCTATTAAAAAAATTTGAAATTCTTTTAATTAATTTTTTTTTTTTATATATATATGTAACACATAATAAATTTAAGGGTAGACAACAAATTCAACTTTCAAAAGAACAAAAGTGTTAATCGTGATTTATAGGTTTGGTGCTAAAGGCATATTTTAGACTGTTTAAATTATGTATTGGGGAGTATTTATTTATTTATTTATTTATTAAACAAATCAATTCATTAATACAAAGGTATACGATATCTACAAATGAAATATAAATTAATAAATACATAAAATTGAACCAAATAAGGGTTTCCTTCATCAAAGTTACGATCATTGAATAGATCTTGCACTGTGGTACATCTCTCGCATGCATCGTTGGAATATACAACCTTTTCGGAGAAACGGTCTAACGATTTGTTGTAGTCATAAGGATGATTTTCAATTCATCTGATTCACTTGAACACATCTGAAAATTTGACAACCGTTGCGATCCTGTATAAATCTTTACCAAAGAACTGATAATAGAGCAAAATAAGATTACCTTTTTCATAAACCCTGCACACAAAAAAAACCCTAAACAAAAATAAACAATTAAACTAACATATACTAACAACTCCACCATAGAGAGACACTCCACTATAGGGAGACGGACGAACATCTACACTACTCGTGTAGATTTATTGGAACCTAAATTGCAAAATTAAAGAAAATTAAGCCAAAAAAGGTCAGAAATAGTCTAATTTATAAAAAATTAGACTATTTCCGGTCTAAACGGCCAAAATATTAGAAAACCCTAGAAGAGAGGATGGGAGCAGAAGATTAAAATATTACTGGGGAGTTTTTATTTAGTATATACTACGGAGTGTTTATTTACTATTCAATAACTATATTAATTTTAAATTTTTTTTACTAATTAGGATGATGTTAAAGGTCGTAAGTTGCGACAAAATAAAATTATTCACAATTTTATGTGGAAAAAAACTTGTGTGAATCTAGTTCACAATAATGTTATTGTGAATCTAAGGTCCATACTCGCACGCAACTGATGTTATTTTGAATATAGTGATCCTAATCTTAATATAGTAACCTTAATTTTTGAAATAATAACCTTTATTAAAATTTGTGTGACCTTTAATATTATTGTAAACTTGAAGTACGGTGTTATGTTAAATATAGTGACCCTAATTTTAACATAATGACCTTTATTATTCATATTAACCAGTAAAAAAAATATAAACCTCTTATGACTTTTATAATTACACAATGACTTTTATTTGAACATAGTAACCTGTATTTTAAAATAGTGATTTTTTTAATAATAAAACGACCATAGTGACTCTAATATAAGTGGTTCACAATAATTAATGTAAACCAAATCTATTTAAGAGTTTGTATCTTATGTGACACTTTTTATTTATTTATTTTTTTTTTTTTTGAGGAAATCTTATGTGACACTTATTCATTGGTACCATGTAAGATTTGTCTCCAACATTTTTTTTTATTTACTACGGATTATGATTTTAATAAATTAAATTTACTATATACCATGATGACTCATGGGAATGAGAATGAAGGAAGGAATGAAATTCATAATAATTAGAATATACTATAATTATGGTAAATATTTTTTCCATTTATCTTGTATATCAATCATATCTAAAACTAGGAAATATAATCGTAAAATTTTATATTATGTAATCTTAAATTTTATTTTATTTTCCTTTCAAAAAAACATTATTTTATTTTATTATATATTTATAAAAGTTAATTTATTATATATTTTTTGGGAGACTATTTAATAGCTAGCGCTTTTTGGGTGCTAAAGTAACCCTTATAAAACCGACTGAGTAACCCTTGTAATACTGGTCAAGTAACCTTTATAAGTAACCCCCATGTAATTGGTCACACCGTGTGACCAGCCATATATAAGAATTTGTGTTTAACTGCTACCATAAAATTGTAGCTATTACAAATATTTTGAATCTCTACCTTTTATCTTTTAGGAACTGATAAAAAAGATTACATACAAAATTTAAAATTAAAAAAACTACTTCATATTTTTTTTTTAGGGATTTTCCAAATAGTATCACTACATTTTTAGCTTTTTCAAATGGTACCCAAATTTTATTTTATTTCCTATTAATACCATTGAAGTATTAATCTAATAGTTACAATAAACTCATTGTTAATTAGATGTTAATTAGACTTAGAGTGTAGTTAGTCGTTAACTAAATAAAAGAGTAACCCCCACCCACCAACATATAAGAGTATAGTAAACTCATTGTTAAGAGTTTACGAAGTAAATAAAAGAGTAAGCTCACTGTACGCTTCCCTATACTCATCTTCTTCTTTTTTTCATTATTACATCAAGAAATTTAGCTCCCTTCTTCCACGGGAGCATATAAATTTCCCAATTGCAATGAACACGGGTTCTCTTTAGATGTCACTAAGCTAGTCTTTCTTGAGGTAGCTGAAGAACTTGAGTACTTCTCTTGCAAATAGTCTTATTATTTTGGATTTTTATATGTCATTCGGGAGAGTTACAACTTCAAGACGGAATCCACGTGTGCTTGTACCTCGAACAAATGGAAGCTCCGGTTGTTCGGAGTTCCGCCTCCGACGATCAAGTTAGTACCGGATGAGGAAAGTGGAGTATGTGCGAAAAGTAAAAGTAAAAGTAGATTTTCTCGATTTTGAGATCTAGGTGTCTGCTGTTGTAATAACATATGAATAGTGTCTGAAAATGATGTGATGTAATTGATTGTAATAAAACTAAGGTAATATATTGTTCCTATTTATAGGGCATGGGAGTTTAGGTCACTTTAACTTAGGAATTAAGGCCGCGTCGTTTTACGACACATCGGGATTTGGGCCCTTTGAGGGCCGCCATTTCTCCCAATGATGAGGGGGTGACACTTGTCTTATCTTGGTTTATTATCTCAGAACGCTTCCTAGGATGACACGTGCCACTTTCTCGTTAGTCCACATATTCAGGGTGTTTTTACCCTAAACATTTCCCCTCATAGGGGTGACATGGCAAGCCACGTGGCGCATGTGACATGTCAGGTGTACAGAGGGTGACGGTTATATTAACCGTTCACCTTGAAGAATTTATGTCTTCGCCAAGTGCAATTACTAAATGTATCAAGGATCACTATTATGGAGATAATTAATTCATTCTTTTCGGTCGTCATTATCTGTTGCTAGATATGATAAATGTTCTTTGTGCTAGTCAAATAGTCCAAAGCCCAATAGAATGGATCCTATAAGGTCACACACAAGGGTGATGGATTGAACAAACGAAAAGAGTAATTTGGGCTTGATTTGGACTCTAATTATACGTGTGTTGTATAAATAGAGGACTTGCCTAGGGTTTGCAGATAACACTTAAGCAGCTAATTGAATTGACTAGCAAGCAACCAAACCTTAAAGCCTTATGCACTCACTCTCTCCTCTCCCCTCACGTCCGCACACGCCGGTGGTGCGTGTGGTGCACGGTGGTGGTCGTGGTTGTTCGTGGCTCGGTTTTCTCCTCTCCTTTCCGTAGAAGATGGCTCAACGTGTTCGTGCTCGACTAACTAGCATTAGTGGAGGTTCAATCCTAGCTTGTAGACCAAGTAGAGGAGCAACACTTGGGGCTCTTATTCTCCTAATCGTTCGTGGTCGATCGCTCGTGGAAATCACACATCAAAGGTATGAATTATGTGATTCTTTATGTGTTATGCTTGTAGATCCTGTTTAGGTGCGACAAATATGATTCGTGAAATTCCGCTTATAGTATCTAAAACCCTATAGTAGTATCAGTTAGCCTCTTGCATTTACGGATATTGATCATAATTTTTTGATGTCCACAATTTTAATTCAATTAAGAGGGAGAATTCTAATTTAATTATGGTTCAATCTTTAGTTTAAATGGAGATTTAAGGCTTGGAAATTTTTTAAATGGAATTTAAATTGCTCAATTATTCCTAGTAAAATCTGAATCAAGCCCTAGCATGATTGAAAATTTTGAAACCCTAAGCCCTAGTTTTCGAAAATTTTGATTGAAATAAGCCCTAAATTTTTTTTTTGTACTTAATTTTTATAATTTTCGAATGTTTCATGCTCCATAAATTTAATTAGATTGATTTGATACATAAATATGATTTTTGCATAATGAATAATTTGATCTAAATGTTAGATTAAATTGAATTATGAATTTGATTTCAAAGTTGAATTAGGCATAAATGTGATGCTTTAATTCAAAGGACCTAATTCAATTTAATTTTACAAAAGTTGTTAAATTAGATTAAAACTCATTAAAAAAAAATTTGGTTTGAGTGGGAGCAGCCACGGCTGGGTGGCAAAACCCGCCTAGGCGATGCCACGGTGGCTACCCCCTGCAGGTCCGAAAGGGAGGGTGGAGGGGCTAGGTGGTTCGGTGGCTGGCAAGGTGCTGTCGGGTGGTGTTTGCGGGAGTAGCAGCAATGAGCAAGTGTTGCACCACTGTTGCCGCTGCTGCGCGTGGGTGCCGCAAGGCGCCCAACCATCATACCATGGCTGGCTTCGGCTGGCCATACCAAGGTGGTTGGCTGCACAACAACCCCAGTTTTTTCCAAAATAAAAAAAATGTTTGATTAAAATTATTTATTTATTTTAATTTTAGATAAAATTAGATTTTATCTAAGATAATTTCAAATTTTAAAATTTGTTTTAATCTTTAAAAAAATTTAAGGATTATTGAGCAAGATTCCAAAAGATAAAGATTGACTTGGTAATGTGATTATCCATAATTATTGATTTAAAATTTTGTGATTGGCTAGTAATTAGGATAGATACTCCTGAGTTTGTTAGGATAATCTTTGAAGATAAATATGATTTATCTTTTAAGATTAAAATAAGATTTGATTATATTTCATGCCTTATTTAAAATACATGATATTCTAAAGATGGTCATGAATAATATATGATATTATCTAATTACCCTAAAATATGAGATATTTTGGTACCATGTTTCCTTATTATGAACATTCGATGTTGTAGTTTAGGTAAGCATGTTTACGTGATAATTATTATGTGGCAATTGTAATATATATGATATTATGTTGCTATATAATGACTAGAATGATCCAGTAGATTACTAAATATGATCTGCGTATCGTGATGAATTTTTGTAATCTAAGTATGGTCTGCGTACCGATAAAGTATTTTTGTAATTTTATCTATTTTATTTAAGTAGTAAATAGATTAGAGTAGAATTACAGGTTGCAGTTAATCCAGGAAGCCCATGGAGTGAAGGCCCAAAGGAGCAAGGTGGATAAGAGCCATGAAGGTTCAAGTGGGAGCATTTGCTTTATTAGTTTTCTTAGGATTAGGGGCCATACTATGTCTTGTTTATGCATTCAGTAGATTATGCATACTAGTTTTTATTGATGTTAATGATGATGCGCTAGAGTTCACTAAATCAATCACAACATAATAAATCTAGGTCCCGGAAATATTGAGATTGCTTTTCCAATTAGATACCCAACAAACCTTTGATCGTGAGTGATAGGTCTGCCTCCGCAGGGTGTCACTTGTTATCTTAAGTAATTTGGGGTAGATCACGTTCTACACATTTAATTAGTTGTGCTCAATAAGGTTACCTAAAACGCTTAGAACCTTGAAGCAAAGGGTAATAATTAAACATGAGATGGTTAATTATTCAACCTAGAGTTGTAATTAAGAAAGAGTTTACTTACCTTGAAAATGTAATGCTTGATGGTAGCGCCTCAATCCGGTCAACTATTACACAAATAAAGGATCTTGTAAGCACTTAATTTAAATGGGACAATTGTTTTTAATAAATTGTTAAAGTAACCTATAATTTTAATTTAGGTGCTTTAAAGATAAACATAGTTGAATTTTGCGTTTATTTATAAGTAATATTTTGTTCTAATTTTATTATCATATATAATCTCCTCGATTGAAAATAAAGTTGAGAAATGTTCTCAAAAGGTTAAAAGATAATCCATAAACCTATATTCCAATTTTGCTTAGATGGTTCTAAAAGACAAGTTTTAGAAACTCATGTCACATGTCTAAGGTTAGTTTCCTTTAACTCAAAACGTTTGAGTGAATCGCCAACACCATCTTCATTTTGAAAAGTGTATCAAGGGTTAATGAGATGGGAGGTACGAACCCTCTAAAAGACAAGTACGGAATTTCAATAAATCTCTTATTTCAATGTAATTGAATATAAGAAAATGATTGGAAGTGCCTATGGTCAAAAGTTGATCAAATGACATTATTCTTCATCCATTTTATATGGAGTTAAATAGTTAATTAAACTCTACTATGAATGATGATTGAATAGATTTAGCAAAATTATGAAAAAAAAAAATTCTTAAAACAGTTAAGCAAAATATCATTTTCAACCTAAGAGAAATGTTCTAAGTGGCTCAAAGGAAAAGGTTTAAGAATATGTGGGGATAACATTGAGGAGTTTTAGGCTAAGAAATGCAAGCAAGTTGCTACTTCTCATACCTAAAACTATTTATATGCTAAAAGTTGTTATGAACAACAAAAGTTTCCAATTGATTAGAAACTACCTCATACAGTTGAAAGTTAGAAGAATGGAAGTATTCCAATTAAAGAAGTATATTATAGAAATTAATTTAGCATATTACTACTTCTTGGACATATCACTAGGCGAAAATTGCTAATCAGCACCGGTTCAAAACCCCCATTTCGCACCGGTTTTGAATCGGTTCTGATTTGAGGGATGCCAAATCCCAAGACTTTTCGCACCGGTTCAAAATCGGTGCAAAAACTTATTTTTCGCACCGGTTCTTGATGTGAACCGGTGTGAAAAAGTCCCCAAAAATATTAAAAAAAACTTTTAGCACCGATTCTTGCTGTGAACCGGTGCGAAAAGTGGCCCAAAAAGATTAAAAAAGAAACTTTTAGCACCGGTTCTATTTCAAAACCGGTGCCAAAAAAATACCCCAAACGATCTGCTGCTGCATAGACATTGGATAACAAAACAAAATTTCCTGCATTATGAGGCTCAAGTTCAACTAGTCGATTGGCTACTACCTCGGCCAGCTCAGTATCACAATGCAATCTACATGCCCCAAGAAGTGCTCCCCAACATTCAGCATGGGCCTCAATTGGTAATGACTTATGAACATCATAGGCTGCTTCTAAGTGGCCAGATCGACCTAGAAGATCAATCATGCATGCATAATGGTCAGGCGAGGGGTTAATTGAATATTTACTCATCATATCAAATAAGCAGTAACCTTCCTCTACCAGTGCCGCATGGCTGCAGGCTGTCAGGATGACAGTGAAGGCCACATCATCAGGCGTTATTATAATAACTGCTCAGCTTCAACAATGTAAAATGCATAGGTTCATAGAATTAAGTTTCACTAATAAAGATATTTCTCAGGAAAAGAGCACTGTTTGTACAAAGCTATCACGTCATCACATAAGGTGAAACAAAAAAAAAAAAAAAAAAAAAAATTCACACTTGCAAAAATAAAACAACCTGATAAAACACCAACTGAAAAATGACCTCAGAACATTGGCAAACTGACCAAAACTCACATACAGCAACAGATGATCTGGTTATTCTTTGTGCAAACTAAGGTTTGGTAAAATCATATAGGATAAGAAACGTAGGAAGTGATACCACATTTGTTTTGACCTCTAATGATCCTTATATAACCATTTTCTCCCCAACTTTCACCCCACGAATTCTTCAACACCCAATAATCAGTCCCATATGTATCAGTCCCATACCCGACTACAGTAACAGCATGATTAATGATTTACCATACCTATCAACAAAACGTACCAATCACATCTCATCACAAAATAGTATACACTGCGTATAAGGCAGATCATTTTCTTCATAATCCCACCCTCCAAATGCTGGCACATGATAATTCCACATATATTCCTGTTCGTTAACATCAAATTCAATATATTATTACCCTTAATCATCATTAATATTTTGAATTAGAAGAGAAAAGAAAATAAGAGAAGACTTACATCCATTTTTTCTTTTGAAATTAAGAGAAAGAAAGAGGTTTTTGTTGGTGTGTTCTGTTTTTGAGCCAAAAAAAATGTAATCGAGCACCCAAAAGTTATATTAGGAGTCTTCTATGAAGCAAGTGCAATAAAATGTGCTTTAAGAAGCAAACTTTACCTGTAGTATGTAACTTGTTGTAGGATCATCAGCTTCCATTTGGGATCCTTGCAGTGACATAAGCACCTCCATGACCTAGTAGACAAATCGAATGCAGATTATTTATAAGCATCAAAATGACGTTAACACCAAGACAAAGAACCCTCTTCTTTGTCACAGCCGTAGCAAGCAGCTTCCCACAAGAGTCCCTAATTGCCACCCCAAGTCCAAACTCCCTGCTGCTAAAAATACCAGCATCCGTATTAATTTTCACAAAGCCCACAGGAGGTTTCATCAACCCTGCAGCTGACTGAACAACACAGCAGCAGTAATATACAATTAAACTACTCTAGCTTTTGCAATACGCTCACCAGCCAACGTGAGCAAGTTGATGTCCCGAAGCATAAAATAGCACCACACGTCCACACCATGTCAATTTGAAGGATTGGAAGAATGTCATTACACTGTGAATATAAACCATTGAATAAGCATGCACATATTTAACTGCAACAGACAGAAAGAAGAAAGCAAATAACCAGATACACTCAGATATGCAGAATAAATCTCCGTAAGATACCACTTGAAAGCAAGATTTAAAAACCCGGGGAGAAAAGGAATGACTAATACCTCTATGAGTTTCGAGTCACAGAGAGAAAAGGCTTTCTGAAAAACACAATGGATCTCGTGTTAAGAACATCATATTCAAAAAAGAGTTACACAAAAAATCGAATGTCTGGCAAAATAATTTCTTATTAACAATAACCTCTCCCATTTCAAGCGCCTCTAATGCCTCTTTGTATTACCGTGCTCTCATTAGCTGCTTCCCTTTGTATGCAGCAAAGACCCATCATTATTTCCCTGTCATATACAAAATATAAGGCAATTCCGCACATGCGTTGCTTCTCAACAATTGAAACTAAAGAGAGACTTCCAGATGGTGCATACAGTAACTTGCAATCAGCAAACACATACCTTTGATCTGTCAGAACCCATATTAAGATTCTGCCCTCTTTGATCCTCAAGCTCAATGTTGTAGTCATCAATAGGTAGCAATCCATCAGCATGTCTCTTGACAAGCATAGCAACAGCCATCCTGATATTTTTAAATAGGAAAAGAAAATTTTCAGGCATTAAGCTTTCAATTCTCACAAACATTACTAAAGAAGGCACTTCTTCACAGCTTCCTTGGAACAGATAAATTATTAGGCTATGTACATAAAATACGAAGTAATTTTTTAGTTAAATTATGTCTATTTTATTTATAATAATCTTAATTGGTAACACATGGTGAAGTTAATATATATACTCAAAATTTCTAATATTCAGAAACCAAACTCAAAAATAAACCAAACTCAAAAGGCTAGACATCAACTTGCTCACGTTGGCTGGTGAGCAGTAATTTAGTCAAACAGGAAGTTGTAATATACAATTAATCTTTCTACCAGTAATGCACTACAATTACAGAAAGAAACAAATCTCATTCACTATCGTAATATACCAAGTACATAATTACAACTTGTAAAAAGGGATTTTCCCTCTTTAGTCTTCCATTGAATGATGAATTACTTCAAGCACCGACAATTAACGAAAACTCAAAATTCCTAAATTTTATCACCCAAGACACAATTAAATCAATAGCACCCTTATTGGACTAAAATCACAATTAAATTCAGAAAATCAGCAGTAAATCAATCTTCATAGATTATAAAATCACTTCAACAAGCTCAACCCCAACATTCCCACAATTCAGTATGTCAAAAACATCAAAATAGCGCACTCCACGTTCTCCATTGAGGCGCCCTTCTGAGATTACGAATTTTGATAGTGTGAGAAATTGAAAGACAATAAACACACATATCAAATTCAGGGGCAATTTAAAAGTTCAATCCTAAAATTAACAAATCAGGCTTCGAAATTTCACATAATTTAGAGAGAAAAGACAAATTTGATTCAATTAATTAGGCTTGTAATTTCCTTCTATTGCAACATAATCACTCGTTAGCGATACTGCAAAAATCCGAACCCTAAATTAACTAAATACTGACAATTAAATTAAATTGGATCAACGATAAACCCTAGATTGTGAAATTGATATTGGAAGATTACAAAAAGAAACGATAACTTACCTCAGAAGTTGCTTCAATGGAGGATAGAAATCTCAGAAGGGCGCCTCAATGGAGAACGTGGAGTGCGCTTCAATGGAAAATTGGGAGACAGAATAGCGCAGCGTGTAAGTGAAAACTGAATTCGTAATTTTGAGGAAAGTGCTGAGAGAAAGCTCAGAAGCCCCTTCAATGGAGAATTTCGAGTACGCTTCAATGGAGGAGAGAGAGACGGATGAGAGAGGAGGAAAGATCTAGGAAATGAAAGAGAAAGAAAGAAGATTGACCGGGTTTTTTTTTTTATTTAACAATAGATTTCGCACCGGTTTGAACGAATCGGTGCGATTTACTACTTTTCGCACCGGTTTTGTTAGAACTGGTGCGAAAAGTCTTCCCCTCAATCCCACCTATTTTTTTTCGCACCGGTTTTTATTTTGCGGTGCCTATTTTATTTTTTCTACTGGTGTATGATGTCAACTTTAGTTCACTCATTGAAAAATGTGGTTGAATTAAAAGAAGAAATTTGGCTGAGGGAGAAGTAAATCTACAAGTTTAGAGGCAAGTGTTGCTACTTCACCAGTAATATCTACAAGTTTAGAAGCAAAAGTTGTAACTTTACAAGTAAAATTTACATTTCACCTTACGTAGTTATTGGCTAGAATTAAATAAATGTTATTTATTCTTGTCATTATCAAAACACCAATAAATGTTAGTAATGACTACGCATTGAAGATTCAAAACATGGAATAAATGTTATTCTATGCTTATTTGAATCAAAGTGTGTTTTGAAGAGCTAAATAGGTCAAAAGTTCTATATGGCAGATATAGACAAACCATTTCTATACATATATTGTCTCTAAAATGTCAAATGGTTTAAATAAAAATGCACATTGCATACGGAAGGTCCAAAGGGATTGACTTTCAATATCATTAGATTGTGAATCTATTGATACATGTAAATATCATTCAAATTTGAAACTGATAAGATATCGTTTAGAGAAATGATAATATGAACTCGAGATCCAATACATATCAATGTAAGAAAAACTAAGGTTCAAAGGCTAGAGCCGGACAATGAAACTTCATTTGTGATATGATCACTTGTGCTTAGTTGAAGCATAAGTTTGAAAGTTTTGAAAAGTTCAAAAGTCCAGCATGAAGTTCAGATCAATTTGACAAAATATTAAATACATTACAATATGATTGTAATGGTGAAAGTTTGAGTCAAGACATTTACTTGGAAATATACTCAAAGTATTGCTATATGATCGTAAAAATGAGAATTTAAGCCAAGACCTTGATAAACATCCAAGATTTGTGAAATTGGTTTACAACACAGTCCGAAAGGAAACCTTGTAAAGTGTTTATGAAAGGAGCTATCAATCTATATGAGATATATTGATAATGGATGAAAATACCCTATCTTTAATTTGAACCATTATTCAAGGGATATACTTTTAAGATGAGCTACAATACTAAACAAAACTACATACTTTAAATCAAAATGTAGCAAAGGCTTCATACGTGATATGGATAAGAAAATTTCTTATAAAGTCTTTCTACAAAGCAAGGAATAAAAGTTGTATTAAATCGTTTGATACACATTCAATTCCTATACAGAGCACGGGGTACTACTACACAATTCATACTTAGCACGAAATGTTTGTTGCTCAAGTAGATGTCCTTCTGGAAAAGAGGTCATTTCCAAAAGGTCAAGTGGGAGTAGTATAAATCTCGAAAGAGTTTCGAGAAAAGCAAAAAACAAACATGGTTCAAACCATGATTGGTTCACCCCATGCTAATGTGCCTCTTCAAAATGGAAAGTGGGAGCATATGAATCTCGAAAGAGTTCGAGAGCCTCGAAGGAGTTCGAGAAAAGTTAGTTCGAGAATCTTGAAGAAATTCGAGAAGTAATCGAATGAAAGCAACAATATGAGCATGATTCACCTCATGTTATGAATGACAACATGTGGTCTCACTAGGTGTAACGGGAATAATAACCATGTGTCAAAGGTACTACATTTCAAGTGCACATCCTCTATTATCTTTTCTCATTGAAAACTAAACAAAGTTGTTGTATAAGTTTCAATTGTTGCATAAAGACCCCATAATGATGACTATCATATCTAAAACTTAGCATAAGAAATATGATTTCATATTGACTAAGAGTTCTAAAATATTGATTTTGGAACATAATGATTATGCAAGTAATAAAGATGATTTGACAAGTTATAACTCCAAGTGGTTTAAAACCATGGAAATCTAAAATAGATTCCAAGTCTAAAAGCAAGTGTGTGACACTTGATTAATTTTCCAAATTGGGTAAGACCCATAATAAACAAAACAGACAAGAAAGAAAAATGTTTTCTAGGCAAAGCAAAGACCTTTTGTTAGAGGATTTAACTAATTCATAGTATGACTGTGATAAAACCTTTACATTAGTCATATTGCAAAGATCTATTAAAGCTATTTTAGTGATTTCTACCTTATGAGATTTGGTAGATGGATTTCAAAACGCTTTCTTGAAATGGTTCATGAAAGAAGATTTGTATATGATATAGTCATAATAGTTTTGAAAATCCAATAATCCTAGGGATGCATAAAAGATCCACTAATGGTTTGGAGTAAGCATCATTGAGTTAGTGTTCTTAATTTGGTGAGTTTATCAAATTGTTTGATGTTCTCATAAAATAAAGATAAGGTATTGTGTATATAGGATGTTTAGTGGGAGCTATACAGTCTTTTTGGTCTGGTATGTATATGAAATATTTCATACAAGGAGTGATTGTTCCATGCTTGAAGGGTCAGGCGATGGCTAATGCAATTTGTATGAAAAACCTTGAAGAGAAAGATGAGTACATTTGGGAATTAAGATCTATAAAGATAGGTCTCGAAGGATGTTTGAGCTTAGTTAAGAAACTTATATTGATAAGATTCTTATGAGGTTCAACATCATATTGAAAGGAATTTCTATCCCATATAACATGGCACATTGCTTACAAGATTCAATGCTTTGAGAAAGGTTGATGAAATTCAGGTTTTGAGTGAGCTCCTTGTGCATTTTGCAAAGGATGCATCATGCATGTAATGGACTATACTCGTCTATTGGATTCACATGTTTTGAGAATATGTGGTGATAAATTTCAATCGAAAAACCAATGTAACATTGGAATACAATTTAGAAATTCCTAAACTCCTTGCCGAAGGATGAAGGAAGATTCTTGGCGTATGGAGATGAATATTATTATAAAATTTAGAAGTTGCAAAATTCATGTTTATGAGAATGTCTCATGAATTGTATCAACTAAACTATTTCAATAGCCTAATGACACAAAGGGCTCATTTGAAATAACATGATGGTGGATGGTTTTGATTGTGTGCTAGGGAGTCATAATTGCAAAGTCATCAGTCATGTTTCCTTATGTTTATCAATTGAAACAAAGTTTCAATCTCATTTAATCGCGGTTTAGTATTAAATAAAATGTCCAAAATAATTATGAATTGATGGGTTCATCAAATCGATGATTTGGTGAATGAAACCCCACATGTGAACTAAATTCATAAATTATTTAAGTTCCTAGTTCGAAATCATTAAATTGGACATAAGTGATTTCAATAAATGGACTAGCATGTAAGATTGATTGATTGGATAGCGCAATTTCATGGGCTATAGGGGCATAGAGATGCTCAGGTAATGACATGGATATGCATGAATGATGCATAATCGAATTATTGACCTACTTTGAAGTTCAAGTATAGAGCTTCCGGATATATTAGTGGATTCCTTTGACATGATTGGAACACTAATTTCATTAAATGATTGATTTAATTGTGGTACATCCAAACATCATTCCGTAAAAGGGGATTCAAAAGTTGATTGGGAGCTTTGGTTGCCACAAGATTGGATTGAGTCTACCTATTTAATTAGGAATGTGTCTTGGCCCCTTGAAGAGGGAGAATTCAGAAAATGCATAGCTGTGCTCAAATGGATTACATAGTAATCATTTGTTTTGTAATTCTAACTCAGTTTTCAAGAAAAGATTTGTAGATTAATATGATCACGACATCAGATGCAATCATATTATCAAATCGACACACATTGACTTAAGGAATTTGAATATTGCGCACTTGTCTCAGATAAGTGGGAGATTAAAGGATTTATGTCTTTGTCAAGTGCAATTACTAGATATATCAAGGATCATTATTATGGAGATATAGTTCATTCTTTTGGGTCGTCATTGTCTGTTGCTAGATATGATAAATGATCTTTGGGCTAGTCAAATAGTCTACAGCCCAATAGAGTGGATCCTATAAGGTCACACACAAGGGTGATGGATTGAACAAAAGAAAGAAGCCCATTATTGGGCCTCATGGAGTGGCCGGCCATATGGGATTAAAGAGGGAGTAATTTGGGCTTGGTTTGGACTCTAATTATACGTGTGATGTATCAATAGAGGACTTGCCTAGGGTTTGCAGTGTTGGGTTTCGTAGAGTCCGATTCTACGCGAAAGAGAAATCCGCCCAAGACTCGCCCACTAATTTAGGCAACTAAGCATGTAATCACTAATTAAACAACAAATTAAAGAGAGAAAAAAAGACATTCTTACCCTTGACGCGTGCTTCGCTCGATCCCCGAGCTCTTACTTGAACCCCGCAAACGCGAAGGTCTCCGACGGCTCGTACCCACGAACCCGACCCGATCGGTCCAAGTCTCGAAGGTTAGTCGAGACCCGACCAAGAAAAACTAGAGTTTTACGAACTTAAGGTTTTCTCACTTTCCAAGGAGTGCCTTTTTAGTTCCACTCAAGTGTTCTTCCCAAATCCCAAAATCTTGGTATTTATAGGGAAATGAACCCTTGAACTCCCACTCTTGATCAATGTGGGAGATTTGCATTTTCCCTATTTTATTTTAATCAAAATAAAATATAAATGCACAATCAATTAACAAGCTACACATGGCATGAGGGTAAAGAGAGAAGGTGAGGACCACCCAAGGGGGGGACCATGTCACCTTGCTCTCCAATGCCAAACAACCACCCTTGGTCCCCTCCCCTTGACCGGCTGACCAAGCCATGTGGCAAGCTGGCAGCTTGCCTTGGCTGCCAAGGCTGCCAGCTAGTTACTGGCACCAAGGCTGGGCTGCTGGCCAGCCTCGCTTCGCACATGCGCACCCACACAGCCAGCCCACACATGCATTGCAAGGATGTTGCGCGTGATGCTGCTGGGCGTTGGTGTTATGCGTGGCCTAGCACGCATAGCGTG